CAAAATCAATAAAATATATTAAAAAAAAAAAAAAAAAAGAATCAAGGCAGTTCCTGGTGCCATTTCTTTCTCGTTCTGTCCTCATCTTTGTCCTCTTTTATTAACTTCTCTTCCTACATTTTGGCTTCCTCTTTGGTTCTTATCAAACCTGGTCATCTCGACTGTCCATAAAATGCCACCTTCAATATCAGGGTCATTACCACCTTAAAAACCCAGAGCCATGGCCAAGTGATCCTTTTCATTGTTTGAATTATAGTGTCCTGTGAGAAAGAATGGCTCTGGATTGCCTTCTTTTGGGTCAAGTGTTTGTCCTTTGATCAGATGGTATGGCAGTGGGTGATCGAGTGAGGAAGGGGTGAGTGGATGCTTTCAGGGATTTACACTAATGCCCCAAATATGTGTGTACAGCAGGTTCTCGAGTCATGTCATTTCATTCAACCTCAGTTTGTCAAAATGTTGATGAGATGCCATAGGAACCTAACTCTTGTTTATATAAATTAGCCTGTGGTAAAATGGGTTTCATTATACATCATTTTGTTTAAAGTCACAGAACCTATTGATGATGTTAAGTAAGGACTTACTTTACTAACATATATCAGATAATATTAAAGCAGTGTCATAAAAATAATAGCACAAATACAAAGTACAAAGCAAGGTAACAAAAATAAAATGTAAACAAAAATAAATTAACAAAAATTAGCACAAATATAAAATACAAAATAATAATAATAGGTACAAGAAACTGAAATTGGTTGATTATTTAAAAGCTACCTTTCTGGATTTGGGTATGTAATTTATATAATAGTACTATTTATATAATAGTACTAGAATAATTTATTTCAAAGAATTATCTGTGTGAATATTTTTTTAAAAATATTTTATTGATTTTGTACAGAGAGGAAGGGAGAGAGATAGAGAGTTAGAAGAGTATGAAAGAGAGTCATCGATCAGCTGCCTCTTGCACACTCCCTACTGGGGATATGCCCGCAACCAAGGTACATGCCCTTGACGGGAATCAAACCTAGGACCTTTCAGTCTCCAAGCCGACGCTCCATCCATTGAGCCAAACCGGTTTCGGCTGTGAATATTTTTTAAAAGAATATTCAATAGTCATTATTTATTGAGCACTCTTTTATTTGTATTGTCAATTCAGGTTTTCCTATAGTAGGTTTGCATAATGGGATATACTTCTCAAGAATCTAGATTATTTGTTGTACATTATTTGAAGATTTATTTCATAGAATTTAAGGGCCTCTTTTCTGATTTCATAATTCATATTTCTTTTTAAAAAAAATAAATTTTATTGATTTTTTACAGAGAGGAAGGGAGAGAGATAGAGAGCTAGAAACGTCGATGAGAGAGAAACATCGACCAGCAGCCTCTGGCACACCCCCTACCGGGGATGTGCCCGTAACCAATGTACATGCCCTTGACTGGAATTGAACCCAGGACCTTTCAGTCCGCAGACCGACGCTGTACCACTGAGCCAAACCGGCTTCGGCTCATAATTCATATTTCAGTGAATAAGAAGTATTTGTAATTTGTCATGCATTTTCAGTTATTGGTGACTGTCCTTAAAATTTTTCTAGTAGCCTGGCTCATTTCTAAAATTTACAGTTTTCTAGGGAGTTTTTGAAAAGTCTGCTTAGAATGGTCTGCTCTTCTGTAGGATTTTGGGAAGGTTTAATGGAAGCAGATGATTTTTAGTGTATTAGGTTCAGGGAAACATTTTCCAATTTAGTTTCAATGTAAAGTAATTTTAATTATACTATTTCAAATCATATTTTATGATCAATGTTGAAGATACATACAACAGATATACTTTTATGTGGTTTGTTATGAATTGCATTATTTTGGGCTTATATTTTAAAACAGAGATATCCAGAGTGGGCAAAAGTAGGTTTAGTTGTGAGTACATAAAACACAGGACTTTATTTTTTTTATCATTATTTATTAATTATTGTATTATTTTCCTATGAAACTATAAAACTATTTTTTCACCATATTTAAAAATATTCATTTTTAAATGGTAATTCCAATAAAAATATAATTCAGTTTGTTTTTTAGTTTTCACCCAACTTCCTTAGGAGATAGGTAGTTCTTTTACATCAAATGAGTTTTAGGTGCTATCATACATTTAAAAGAATTTTTTTCCCCATTATTTTATTAAGTGTACTAGATGCCTAATGCATAAAAATTCCTACAGAAAAGGCCTTCCTTACCCTGGCTGCCGGCACAGCCTTTGCTCTGACCCTTAGCCACCTTTCTGCCTTCCCATGCTGCCCAGAAGCCCAGAGTAGCTGGGGCAGTGCGAAATGCCTATACTGTCACTATGGCAACAATGCAAACAATTGGCCCCCCACCACTGTGTGCTTGTGTATGCAAATTAACCTACCATCTTTGCTGGGTTAATTTGCATTCTCACTCCCGATTGGCTGGTGGGCATCGCGAAGGTACAGTCAATTTGCATCATTCACTTTTATTAGTGTAGATATTTTGGCAGATAGCTATACACTTACTCTGAGCTTCCTTTAAATTATTATAATAGAATGCTGCATCTAGTCTATATTTGGAAATTAGCTTTATTTTCTGAAATATGTTGATCCTGAAGCCACAAACTCTACTGCTGGGTTCTTTGTGTTCATGTGGTGAGAAGAATTTACCATGACGTTGTTGTTTTAAATGAAACAGCTGCTATTTGTTTCAAGTGACTGGACCATTTCCAAAGCAGGCTTCCTACCCTGCTCTATCAATTATAGTTTTTAATCTAGAATTTCTCTCTAACTTTTGGGCTCTGTTAAAGATAGGGACAGTGTCTGAGTATCTCAGTGGAAGTAACTTGTTCAGGTATATGTTCTGGATTCCAAAGATATCAGTCAGGAAAAGCATTCAGGGTAGGCGGGAAAAGAGAAATAGAAAAAAGGAATAGAAATAAACAAAAAGTAATTGAAGTAATGAGGCAGGACCTTTTAAGAATAATTTTTAAAGGGGCATTTAGAAAAGGTAAGGCATCATTTCAAACAACAGAATATATAAGGGCTAGAATAGATCTTTTAGGTTAGTGCTTTTCAAATTAGGTTGAAGGACCAGATTTTTTATTTTTAATTCATTATGCATAAGGCATGCATGGTAAGTACATTTATCACATTCTTAGGTCAGATGCTTTGAAAATATCGCCAGATGGCTATAAAGGTTCTAAATGGCTATTTCCTATTTCTGTCTATACTATAGATTGGTATCAGTTTAATGACTGACCGCCTTGGAATAGTGTTGTTGATCCTAAAAAGCTTTCTTCATTTTTGCACCCACGCTATTTAAGCTCAGGAAAGTGAAATGATCTGCTCAATATTATACAGCTATTAAAATTGTCTTTTTTGTTTCAGTAGAGAACAACTCTACTCTAAAACAAAAGTTGGTCTTTTGTTTAAAGGTGATGTCCATTGTCAGTATCCAAAAAGTGAGAAAAAATGCCCTTGGCGATTTTCACTTTCTGCATTGTGGATTTCTGAATTAATCTTTTGTATGGTTGTATATTTTTGGAATTAGAAGAAAATCCTACGTAATAAAGAACTAGTATTGCAAATGGTCATCATGTCCTCACGACTTTGCACCCTTGCGCCTTAGTGCCCAGGCTGGGGGACCTGAGAGGTTGTACCCTCTTCCCCGGCACCAGGGCCAGGGGACCTGAGGCTGTGTTTCCTACCCCGCAACGGAGCTGGGGGACCTATTGCCAGGGGACCTGAGACTGTGCACTCTGCCCTGGCACCAGAGCTGGGAAACCTGAGGCTGCACCACCTGCCCCGAGGTCATGCCCCCCACCCTGGAGCCAGGAGACCTGAGGCTGCGGGATGTGGTGGGGATGGGGCCAGCTGGGTCTGAGTCTGGTGAGATTTGAGGCATGCAGGTGGGAGGGGGAGGATTTGACTCTGGATCCTGCAGCGTGCCCCAGACTCTGACAGGAGGGAGATTTTCATATATATTTACTAATTTCCTTTCATCTCTGACACTTCTATTATAGAGAAAGGGCAAATAGCAATATTAAAATATTGTCTCTAATTCCTTTTTTAAAATTACAAATTTCATGCACAAGACCACTAGTAAATAAATAAAAAGACCAAGTAAAACAATACAAATCAGAAATGTTCAAGTATAAAAAACATAGTAATTGGGGAAAATATTATTAATTTGATGTAATTTGATTGGTGAGTTTATATGGGAAAAGTGTCAAGAGATAAGGCCTAAAAGATTGTCGGGGACGGAATTGGGAATGTATGTAAGCCATAAAAAGGTGTTTATTTTTTATATGTCAGACAATGGGGAACAATGAAAATTTTTTACATAAGAAGTAATGTAAAATAGGTTGGTTTTCAGCAAAAAAGTTTTTAGTGCTTTCTCTCTATTAAACTAATAGTGTAAGTAATAGTTTAAAAGGTAAGAGAATATATAATAGAAATTTGGTACGTAATTGAGATTAGTATTTAATGTGTTTTGAAACACTAAGTAGTTGGTAAAAATATATAATATTGAGGCAGGATATTATGGTGTTGAGCACAACCAAATTGCTTGGGTTAGAATCTTATCTTTGCTTTTTATTATTTTATCCAACCTTGGACAAAATACTTAACCTCTTTGAGACTTGGTTTTCTCATCTATAAATTGAGCACACATAATAGATCTGTCATGAAGTTAAATAACTATGTGTATATGTATTATGATAGGTATATAGACATATTAAATAATGTAGAATAGTTCCTGACAAATAAAGAACTTTAAATAAGCACTTTTACTGCTACTGCTGTTGTCATGATTAATAATAGAAGGCATTTCATTAAATAAATTATGTAAACATGTATGAATATTGTGAATATAAAATACCAAAAAATGTACCAGTTATTATCTAATAATCACTACCCACTGGGTTTTAGGCTCCCCCCCCCTCCATTATAGAGAATAAAATAGTGAGTTTAAGTATATTTAATTTAGTGTTTTCTCTTTTATAGTTTATCAGAGAAGATATGAAATATAAAGATGCTACTAAAAAACACAGCCATCTACACAGAGAAGATAAACACATAACTGTTGAGGATTTATGGAAACGATGGAAAACATCAGAAGGTAAGACTGTTTTTAGAGATCTAGATCCCTTACCTGCTCTTCTGCCCTGATTAGGCATTATTAATTCCTAATTGCATATAATCTTTAAAAAAAAAATCAGTGTAACTTTTCTGTGAGGATATTTCTCTGGAGGATACTTAAATTTTAGTAAATTATTATTTTTTAAGCAAACATGGATCCGAAAGTTATTTTTAGTTATGGAGAACAGTTTCTGAAGTCTTTAGAAGGCATGAAACTTACACATTTTTCCTTAAATATACCCTTAACGGAGTGTGCTAATATTTGCATGCTAACATTGTGTAATTTATATTTTATTTATTTTTCTACTCGTAAATCCTCAATCTTATTCATGGACAGTAATTATTTAGGGCAGGAAAAGTATATGACTTAAAACCTCAATTTGATCCCTAATACTAGAAAGCTACTAAAATATTTTTAAAAGTCCATTAAGCTTTTAAAATTTTTTTTGAGTAACAGAGTCAATCAAAATGTCTAATGTTTCTATTCTTTTACCAAAGTCAAATAATTATGTTGTAGCATATGTTTTTCTCTGCAAGTTTGATAGTGATGTGATATTACAAGGAATCTGGGACAGATTACGAAGGAGGAATATAGAAAAGTAATAAAATTTGCTATACTGTCATTGGTAACGTTTAGTAATGGGCAAAATACAGAAAGTTACTTTACCAGTGCTCAATATTTTTATTAATGTAAGTGGTTTATAGCTAGCATATATATATAATTTATATGCTAAAAATATATAAATTATATATAATTTATATGCTAAATTATATAATAAAGAAGTAATATGCAAATTGACCCTCACACCCTCACAAAATGGCTGACGATGACCAGGCTGGCAGGGAGGTTAGTGAGGGACGACCAAACGATTGAACAAACAGGTTGCATGGGGCAACCAGGTGGGCAGGGAGGTTAGTGAGGGATAGCCAAATGACTGACCAGCAGGCTGCATGGGATGACCAGGCCGGCATGGGGGGACATTGGGGGTGATTAGGCTGGCAGGGGGGCAGTTTGAGGGTAATCAGACTAGCATGCAGAGGAAGTGAGGGGCGATCAGGCTGGCACGGGGGGTGGGACAGTTAGGGGTGATCAGGCAGGCAGTCAGATGAGCAATTAGGAGCCAGGATTTCAAGATTATGAGAGGGATGTCTCACTGCTGGTTTAGGCCCGATCCCAGGGCTATACAAGCAGTTGGACATCCCACAAGGGATCCTGGATTGGAGAGGGTACTGGCTGGACTGAGGGGACCACCTCTCCCCCATATAAAAATTTCTTGCACCAGGCCGTGTGTGTGTGTGTGTGTGTGTGTGTGTGTGTGTGTGTGTTGTGTGTGTGTGTATGTATTTCACTTTTTAAAAGAGGCATGTTTTGCAATATACTGGGAAGAAGAAAAATAAAGAAGGTAAAAAACACCACCAATTTGAATAAATAATAGGTAGACTTCAGAAAACTTTCTATTTCCCTTCCCCATAAAACTTTTAAGTAATATGAACTTGAGTTAGAATAGGAATAAATGAATATACATTTTATAGGGGAAAGTGCTAAATGGTATGAAACTCAGTAAGACAATTAACAGAAAATATAGTAATATGTAGATACTACTAAAGGAATTGATATTCATTATTGTGACTAGTATATTTTAAGTATTAGGTAAATGTTAAGTTGAATGGAGTACACTTGGCCATTGAAAGAAGGAAAAAGTATTTGGCCATTTCTCATCACTTGCTTTGCTATTGGTTCAGCCCCCATTTCTTGCCTGAGTAAGTGCAGTAGCCCCTTAATGGTCTCCCTACATATACTTGTGTTCTGCTACAGTCTGTTATTCATTTAGCAGAGTAACCTATTGGAAATATAAGTCAGATCTGTTCAATACCCTTCAGTGACTCAGAGTAAAAGCAAAAATCTTTACAAAGACCTTCTAAGGCTCGACATGATCTGCTCTCTACTCCCACCCTGTTTCCTCTCTTCCTTCTCTGTCCTATCCATCTTCCTCACTCACTGACCTTTTTCCTATCAGACTCTTGCTATTCTACAACTGCAGGAATGCAGACACCCTCATGGCTAACTCCATTTCCACTTTCATTTAAGTCTATCAGGGCTATTCTCTCTTGAGGCCCACCCTGACCACTCTATTTAGCTATCTTGATTCCTGTTGCTCAGCTTCACACTTTCCTTTTCCCATATTGTGTATCACTTTCTAATATATTACATAATTAACTTACTCATTATGTTTGCCTCCTTTTTCTCTCCTGCCCCCAAGAATATAAGCCAGGGCGGGTGGGTCTTTGTTTATTTTGTTTACCTGTGTGTCCCAAATCCAAGGGAACTGTGTTGTTAAACCCGATTTTGGTTTCCTGCCCTGGTGAGTTTGGTGAGATCTTTTGTGATCTATGAGAATGTTTGTTATTTTTCTTTTTTAATCTTAAGGTCATTTCAAGTTGAAAAGCTTCTTATTTTTTCTAGGTTTTTACCTTAATTTCCACCCTTAAGATTTCACTATTATGATGAGAAGATTTTCCTCTAAGTCTCCAAAGACTTGTCCTAACTTATCTATTCTTGCTTCCTTTTCTCTGAAGCCCATCTTTTACATAACATTTTTAGGGGATTAGGGCGTGGGAGGAGTCCCAGGGCTCCTATTACAACAGTTTCATGGAAGAGAAGAGAGAGGAGTCAGTCGAGTGAAGTAAACCTCCACCAGAAGCTTTAGTGACCTAATTCATATTCTCAACCCATGTCAGACTCTTTTTTCATATTAAAGGGGTCACCTAAAGGCGGGGCATTGTTGCTAGATCACTCACTGTTTTCAATCATAGCCTGACAAGCCCCAGTTTTCCTGGAGTATGTCAGGAATAGGGCATGCCGAATGAGTAGGGTTCTGATTTTACTTGGTATATTTTGTTTCTGTATGAAGAGTTCTTTTGGGAGACAAAAAAAAAAATTATTCCTGTAAAAAGTTTTGGAAACTGCTGATATAGAAATTAGAATGTACCTGTACCAATAATATTCAATTCAAGGTTAATTAGTTCAATATGAATACAAATATACATGTGTGCACACACACATATGCCTACACACACAATAATACATAATTATACTTTGCACATCATTGCTGTATCTCTAAAGATTAGAGCAGTGCCTAGTCTTTATTTAACATTTAGTAAACGTTTGATGAATAGATGAGTGTGTAAACTGAACATTAGATAGTCAGTAGTTAGGTTCATCAAGTATTTAGTGTATAAAACATCATTTAAGTTCAGGCATTTTTGCCAAAATGAAATGTATGCACCCCTGAAAAACACATATTTTGCAAAATTATGAACTTAAAAATTTCCAAGTTTATGGGAAATAATGGAGTTGAATCATACTCAAAACCTATGCAACTTTGTAACCAGAGCACTAACACTAATAATAAAAATACTGGCACAGGTAAAAAGATTAGTTAAATTTCTAATCAATAAATATTATAGTAGGTATTGGACTTTATCTTAAAAAATAAGTAAAGATAACTTAATGGGAGGGAGTTTTAGGTAGAGTTGCGATTACTAAATTATGAAGACAAGGTAAAAATGCCGGAAGATGAGAACTGAGCAACAAAGATTTCTAAGACAGAGGCTGTGGCCAAATTGAGCTTAAGGGAATAGGGGAGTGTAAGGGGATGTTAAGTTCATGGTTTGCTGTGTTGGCATTCTGTAAACTTTGGATCCTTTTGATGCTACTTGGCAGTGTAAAATGGTAACATGTGAGGATCAGTCACATTGAAGTGATGTGACATATATTTATTGACATGATCCCTATTTACCCGTTACACATAAGCTAATTCATGTTACAGAAGCACCAGTAGAATAGGTATATCTATTGTGTTGTAAGCCGGCATTGGAGCCTGGGTATTAAAAAAAAAATGAGTTAAAGTCTCTGGGATATTAGCAGTAAATAGCTAAGTAGGAAAGAAAAAGCACACAAATAATTACAGTATATGTGATATGTACAATAATAGAAACAAGTGTAGGATATAGAGATAGGTCACTGAAAGGAGTAATTACCTCTCTGAAAATGGTGTTTGGAATAGGCTGTGAGGGCTGACCAGGAGTTCTGAAAGGAGATAAAGAGGTAGACCACAAATGGTAGCCCCCTTATGGCTCCTTCAGTACCTGAAAGTTTACTAGAAATGGAAATGGAGGTGGCAGGCTATAGGAAGTATGTGTGCTTTCATTCTTCAAACTAACTGCTGGCCCTTCTCTTTATGAATATAAAGACATTGGGCATATTATAAAATTCACTTATAAAATACAATTCTTATGTGATATGAATGACTAATGTAGTAAAAGTGCCTGACAATACCTGGTAGGCAGTAAATGTTCATTTGTCTTTATAGTAAAGCTGAATAACTGAAATGTTCAGCTGTATATAAAGTTTTGTAAGATTTTTGATTCAGTCCCATAATACTTATTAATAAAATGAACAGGTCTCTTAGGCTAAATACTTGCCATTGTAGTATGTAATTTCTGGAGGGTGAAATGTACCTAAGATCTTTATGGAATGTTGTCAACTGATGAAAATTAAAAGTATGTTGCATAGAAATTGATCCTAATTTCACATAGAAAAATTTTTATGTGACCAGAGTGCACTTTTTTGGGGGTCAGTTTCTATAGAGAATGCTTGGTCAGATTGTACATGATAATAGTCCAGTGCTAATAAAAGCCTTTTAAAAATGAGCATTAGAATTTAGACAAATTTTTATAAACTGGATATGTTGTTAGAATTGCTAAATACAATTAAATAGTAGCCAGTTACCTAATGAAAGAAAATGTAGATGGAAAATTATTGGTTATGTATAAGATTTAAGGATCATGATGGATAAAAACCTGATTAAGTAATGTACTGTTTTTAAAAAGGTAACTCATTGGGTTAAATATTATAACATGTGTCAACCATGAGGTAATCTTTCCATATTATTCAGCATGGGTCTTTCCTTATCTAAG